TGGGGGGGGAGGGGTGGGGGTCCGGCAACAGCCCCCCGCCCCCCCCCCATGCCCCTGCCCCAGTCCAGCACCGGTCACATGCCGCCCTTTCGGAAACCCCAGGAGAGGGGACAGCCGCACCCAGCCCTGCACTCCAGCTGGGTGCAGATGTGCACAATGGTCTCTGCCCCGTTTCCCTCTGTCATCGCAACAGCCCACCCGCAGCTCCCGCTTACCTGGGGCTTGCAGTGCTCCTCAATCCAGCTGAAGACGCAAGCCGAGAGCTCCTGAAAATTCGTTACTGAGATGGAGGTGTTAAAGGACTGGAACAGGGAATCCATAATGCCTTGGAAAACATTGAACTTCACCTCGTCAGACACCTGGTCCTTCCCCTCATTTGGGTTGTCCTGATGAGCTTTCACAATCTGCTCGTAGTTCCTGAAACAAACCAAGCGCCCCATGTTCAGCAGCGGACGGAGGCCTCCCACCCCCAGCTTCTGCTCAGCTGCGGGGGCACAGCTCACTGCCTGTTGCTGTCCATTGAGAACGGCTGCAGGGATGGGGAGGACCAAGAGTTTGCGGACGATCCTGCAAGTAAATAAACACTGGGAAGCTGCAGCCTCTCCTGACACTGGGAGCACATTCACTTTCTCACTCAGATCCACCTTCATACTAAACTCCACCAACTGACCCAAGACAGACCCACACTAACGGGCCGCAGGAGGAGAAACGTTGACAGCAAGCAGGGACAGGCTTGGTACTCCGGGTGCCAGGCTGTCTGCAAAGCACTGAGTGCACCCACGGAGCCTTGAAAGGACAGGGGGGAAAACAGCAGGAAGAAGAGGGCAGCAACCAACAGCTCTTCCCTTACACTTTCATGATCTTCAAGGCCATCACGTCTTTCCTGAGGATAGCAACTTCCTCCTCTTGCTTCTTCTTTTCCTTGTGCAGGAACTGGATGTAGTCGATGGCTGAGCACGGAAATACAGAGTGAGGATTCGAGAGCACACACAAGCCCCCGAGATCCCCACAGAAGGTGCCTGAGCCTGGGCAGCATCAGCTCCCGGCTGCCCTGATTCTCCTCGGGGAGGTGGGTGGGTGGAGGTGGCCAGCACCTGGGCTTCCCCAGAGCATCATCACACCAGAAGGTCCCAAAGTGCTGAATCCCCACGCTGCATGGCTCTAGTGAGGCGTTTTGGGGGGTTGATAGCACCCCCTTCCCTCTCCCCACCCTCAAGACTCACTTTTCTGGAGGACGATGGCCTTGCTCAGCTTCTGGGAGCCCATGGAGAAATCCTGCTGCTCACAGGTGGGAACGATGGCCTGCAAGTCATTGTAGCCTTTCTGTGGGGAAGCAGAGCCACAGCGCACGTATTTGGAGCTCAGCAGTGTGAGACTGGTTGTTTCAAAAGGTGTCAAATCCCAGCTCCCACCACGCAGCCAGCCAGAGCAAGCGGGCTTCCCAGCACACTTGTGTCTGGGGAGGGCAGATGCAGCAGCAAAAAAAAGGGGAGGGTGCTGAAAACAGCAGGGTGCTGGGTGCCGCAGGGCCCCGGGAACCAGCGGGTCGCTGCGCTCTGACAGCGCACGCAGCCCCTCGGGTTACCTTGATGGCATCTCGTCTCTTCTGCTCCGCCTGGGTGTGCGCCCGCCTGCGCCGGTCCTTGTACGACTCCTTGTAAGGCTCCTGGTGATAATCGCTGTCCTCATCATCTGCGTGGAGAGAACCCACGTGAGCGTGAAGAAGCCTGAGTGGCGAGCTCCCAAAGCACGGGGGGCAGAGGCGCATGGAGGGGGCGACAGCTCGGCGTACCAGCTCGACTCCCTTCTCCTGCCGCCCTACGGGCTGCGGCCAGGCCCAGGACAGCCCCGTGCCCCCAGGGCGGCAGGCAGCCCCAA